TTTTCCAGTTTTTGCTTAAAGATTTTCGCATTCTCCAATTACAGGCTCTCTGTAAACATAATTTTGCAATGGCTATATAACATAACCATTGAATAGATATACCACAGTATTCTTAACTATTTAGAGTAAGTGAAGTGGGCTGGAAACTCCTCCTAACTCAGGCAGGCATATGAGTAATCCTGTAACTCTGGGACCACATGGGAACCAGGAAGTGAGAATCAACAATATTAAGTTATGAAATAGGAAATTTGGAATGGAGGGCAAGTAGAAATACACAACCCAAGAGAAGGCATGCCATCTGTGAAAATGCAGAAATGTTATCTGCAGGCCTCTGTTGAAACTGAGGAAGAAAGATCCTGAGTGAGCAAGGTATCATGAATGGAAAACAATCAGACATTTATTCATTCAGGAAATATTTGTTGAGGGCTTGCTGAGTGCTAAGCAGTTCTCTAGGCCCCAGGAGAAAAGCAATGAACAAAATTGCTTTTTTTTTTTAATTTTTACGATTTTATTTATTTGTCAGAGAGAGCTTGCGAGCACAAGCAGGGGGAGCGGTAGGCAGAGGGAGAAGCAGGTTCCCCTCTGAGCAAGGAGCCTGATGCAGGACTCGATCCCAGGGCCCCGGGATTGTGACCCGAGCCGAAGGCAGACGCCCAACCAACTGAGCCACCCAGGCGTCCTGAAAATTGCTTTTTTTAAAAACACGAGTCCCCATTCCCTCAGAGCTTACATTTTAGTTGTGAGAGATAATTAATTGACAAATATATAATAGTCTTTAGATTCCATGAAGCAAAAAGAAAGGAGAGGGATGAAAAGGATGGGTATTTTGTCAGGATGGTTAGAGAAAGATGCTCTGATAAGGTGACAGTTGAGCAGAGACCCTATTGGAGGGACAAGTGAGCATTGCCCATCACCCTAATACCATTGTTGAGACAGTTCCTTATTGATATGTTTTAGTAAACATATGAAACACATGTGATGTTTCATAGGCTCACTGTTTCCACCACATTTTATTATGAAAATGTTATTTCTGTTTGAGTGGATACACACCTACCTGCTTCCACCATGATTCTACCGTGACTATTTGACCATCCTTACTTGTTCTGTGTCTACCATCCATCCAACTTGTTCCCCATCATAGTTTTAGTTTTAGTCTTGGTGTTCACACCCTTTAATCCATATATTCTTAAGCTAATCAGTTGTGAATTTCTTTGACCACAGAGGGTTTTCAGAAACATAACGTTCATGACTAGAACGAGATTGTATATTCATTTTTATATTACAGATTTAATTTTATTTAATTTTTCTTTTTTCATGTAATTCCTCAATCCATTTGGAGTTTATTTCGGGTTGTGGTATAAGGCATAGGTCTTGCTTTGTTTCAGGATTTCCCAAATAGCTGGTTTCCCCAACACATTTGTCAAACAATGTGGCATTTCCGATGTTGGCTGGTCCCTTTTCAAAAACAATGTAAGTTTGTGTATGTGCCTGGATATTTTTCAAGTTGTCTCTTCTGTTCATTTGATTTGGCTGTTGATTTATTTTGCTAGCACCTCAGTTTTACAGTTTTGTCTTATAATACTTTTTAACGTGTAGTTAACATGTAGAATCCTTCCCAATTATTTTATTTTTCAAAATCTTCTTAGCTGTGTTATTTGCTTATTCTTGGAAAAAAATATTAAAATCATCTATGTTCTAAAACACCTGCTTAAAATTTTAATTGGTATGTATATTTCTTGCTTTATTTGAAAGGAATCTTGCCTCATCTTTAAAACAGGGATAATACTAGCTGCCTTTGGTAGGATTATTGTATGGATTAAATGATAACAAACACAAGAAGTGTTTACCATGATGTATCAACTCAGGGCCTGTTGTGATTTTACAGAGAGCTCTAAGGTTTATTTGGGCCCTGCTCCATGGCAGTTCTTCTGGAGTTTCCCAGATTCCCTTTGAATCTAAAAAGAAAGAGCTCTGGGCTACTACCAGTTCAGAAATCAAGCACATTTGAAGGTAAAGGGGAAGCACACCTGAGCTATGTCTCCCTGCTCTTCTTGCAGGGTGTTCTGGGATGGTCACGACTAGCACTGGCTAGAACCAGCATCCTCCACCCACATCCCCAGTTTCTGGTTTCTGCAGTGCACATTCTGTGCAACTGTATTAGTCTAGGCTTTGGATTGGCATTCATGCTCACAGGTCACAGTGGGCTGGAATCTGGCACCAGTTTTACTTAGCTTTCGAAGATACAGGTCAGGAAACAAGAGCATGAGCATGACAGCATCAAACACCTCTTCGTCAGCGGTCCTTCCCACCACCTCCGCCTGGCTTCCCAGCCCACAGAAGACACACTCAGCCATTAGTGGTGAGACCAAGTGGGTGGGTGTAAACCACCCCAGCATGGGAAGCTCAGCACAGGAACTGTATCTTAAAACTCCCCCGTGCACAGCTTCCAGGCGCCCTCCCCCACCAGCCCCCGCCCAAGGACACCCTTGGGGTAAGAGATAACACCCAGAAGTTTGTGTTCTCTGAGTTTTAAATAGTCCTGTCTGCTCACACCCCTCAGGGGTAACTTCGCAATAACCGGGCACAGCTGTCATTTCACATTTATCTTGGCCCAGTACGTTTCAAGGAAACAGTATAAGAGGAAGGTAAATCCCAGATCATCTTCCGATGGAGAAAAGATTTAAGCCTGCTGGGCGCTTTCTCCTCACCACCCCACCCACTCCATTTCTGGTCCTCTTCCTGGCCCTACAGTTCTCTGCAGGATTAGGCTTCAGAACCTCTCCACGCACTAAGCAAACCTTGTGCCAGTCTGTGTACCGAGACAAGAAGCCTAAGAAGTGTTCCTGCTGTGGTATCTCCTTCTGCGGGGCCCCTATTCCCTCCTGCGAGTTGGGAGGATGCTCGCCATTGCCTGCTGGACCTCCCACCACTGCTTCTGGCCGTGTTAGCTTCTCTCCACAAAGGGAAGTTCCAGGGCCATCACCGGCGATTCTTCGTGTTCCCTCGTCAGCCCTGTTCTCAGAAATCCCTTCACATTTCCACTCCGTGTCTTCCCATCCCTGCCTCGTCCCCATCTAAAACTCTAGTGCCCGGCACCTGGCGCCTGCCACACACCTCCTTCGCTCACTGATGCTGTTTGTGTGCCCAGACCGCCACCCCAAGTTGTACACGGGGTCTCTTTCTGCCCCTCTTTCCAGTTTGGCATCTTGGTGGGGCCGCCCTGTTCTCTCTACATCTCTCCTTTTGTGGATGAACCCGCCACGGCTGACCTGACCGACTGTTGCTTTCCCTGGTGCCCGGTGCGGAGCAGACTTCCAGTAAAGGCCAACGACTCGGGTGTAAGAAGTAACAGACATGCAGGATCGCCACCTTCAGACGGTGGCGGCTGAAGTGCTTCGTTCCCTAGCTCGAGTCAGCAGAAGCGGAGGTCAGCAACGGCGTGTCTGTTGCCCGATCCTTTTACACAAGAAGGTCCTGCCTGCAAAAAGTACATTCAAGGTGGAGAAAATGGAAAAGTCTGTACTTATTTTTCCCTAAGAAACACGGTGGCCAGTGTCTCTGTCGGATATGCCTGGGCCTGATCTGAGGAGAGGATCGTCTCTAACGCTGAAAACCCTGCCGAGCAGTGAGCCATGGGCGTGTACTAAAGAATCAAAAAGAAAAAAGAGTACTGCTTATTTTTTCCCTTGTTCTGCCAGCGTTTTCTCGCGTCCCCAGGGTGGAGTGCAAGAAGTCGGATTAGATTTGAAATGAACTACACTGCTGGAATTTTCAGTCCAAAGCCACTGATCCTTTCCCTGATTCTTGGTGGCGACTGGCTGAGGTTTTCTCCTGCTCTAGCAGGAGGGGGTCTAACGGTAGCGCACGTAGGTCAAGCACTTGCTACGTTCCAAGGGCAATGCCAAGCCCTGTTCGTCATATTTTCACCCATGTAAGCACCACCATACCCACTTCAGGTTAAGGAAACCGTGGTATTAAGGAGGTTAATCAACTATCTCAGAGTCACACAGCCAGTACTCCACAGAGCCAGTTTGAATTCTGGCTGGCCCCAGAGTCCATGTTCTTACCCGGCTATGCTGTCTCTTACAAACGTGTTATCTGATTCTGTTCCATAATGGTTATTAATATTTTAATACACACCAGGCTATCATTTTGCAAATCCAAATAAAGGAATAACTATTTATCTCCATGTATACCATGTTAAGCTTCTTAATTTCAATCTGTCCCCTTCATTATCCCTTCTCATTATTGATCTTCCTTTTAACAGGGGCAAAAGGTACATTTGGTTGGATTGATTTCTTCCATGACCTTAGAATAAATTCAAATATTTCATCAAGAACCTTGATTATCTTGTTTACCTTCCGTAATAAATAGTAGATGTTATCTTTGAGTTCCTTATAGGGCTCACCTGCCTGTTTTATAGTAGCAGATAATGAAGCAGATGCTTCCATCCCACGAAAAGCCCCAGGTCTGGTGCTCGTGTTCAGATATTAGGAGTGGAGCCATGTCCAAGTGGCTCTGACTCTCCGTCTTGGCCTGCCTCCCCTCGCCCTTCCTGCTGGGCCCTGTGTTCACTGGCACACAGGGAAGGAGAAGAGAGGCAGGTATGGTTGGAGTTGCTTTTGTCCTTTCCAATCTGAGGGCTGGATTGACTTCCCTGAGTTTATTGGGAGTTGTTTCCGTTGGGAACTCTTTCATCAGAATCAAGTCCACAGATGGGAGGTCCCAAGCCTTCATATATTTTTTTCCAATTAAGTATTTGGGATGGTGGCTTCCCACTAGGAGTGCCTTATACTGAAAAATGATCCAACACTTTCTGTTTCTGCTTTTTTAAGTTTCAGAAATTTGATTTCATGGTATCTCGTTTTAAATACTCTTGCTCCGGTTTTCACGTATAGCTCAATTTCAAAGTGTGTTGCACAATACTTGTTTTGCTAAGAATACTGTCACTATAACCTCATCCTCTGGTTGTTTTAATAGCAAGTTTTATCTGCCTACAGGAGAATATTAAAAAGTGAGCCTCCATATCCTCAAGAAATGAGTGCTTTAGCTAAAGACCTAATTCAGCGTCTTTTGATGAAAGATCCCAAGAAAAGATTGGGATGTGGCCCACGTGATGCGGATGAAATCAAAGAACATCTCTTTTTTCAGGTGAAATATATTGAACAGATGGTTTCGTATGCCCTACTATTTGCAGGGTGCTTGGTATTCTTGGTGAAATGAGTGAACGGGGTCCCTTTTGGGGATCTTTGCTCCCTATTTTCACATACATTGCACCTTTTTTTAAAATGACAGGGACCCTGGAAAAATCCAAAGATCAAAATTCTACTTGGAGACACCTAAATGGTCTTTTTCTCCCTAAATGAAGTAAGAGTGGGGAGGACCATAAAGGCATTCAGTCTTCCATAAGCTTATTGGTTCCAGTTTTGAGTACTGGTTTCTATTTACGATTTTAAAATTTAGGCATCTGGACCAAAGAGGCTTTTATTTTTTACTTTTCTCTCAGTTCATGAGCCATTCCTGCCAGTGTGTTCCACCTTTTAGACAACGATTTCATTTTTCCTTCTTTCCTCAGGAGCTATCTCAGACAATTAAAAATCTACCTATTTCTCAGTTGTGTATCTGCAACATAGAATTAATTATTCTTTTTTTTTTTTTTTGCCTATCCTTAAAAAGCCTAATGAGGCCATTCTACAGAGCACCAATACATCTGCTCAACTTAGTTTGCTCAATTTATTAACAACAACAACAACAAAAAAAAAACAAAGAAGAAAAACCTCCAAAATTATAGATAACTGGGGGGAAAAAAAGTTAAGTTGGCCAACTTGGCTAGTTATTTCAATCTAAGCGGTCAACCTGGCACACCATAACCTCAGTTTTTAAAACCCTGCACTTATGACTTTTTTTTTTTAAGAGAGAGAGGGGGAACACACGATGCGCAAGCAGGGGATGGGGTGTAGGAGGGGCAGAGGGAGATGGAGAGAGAGAATCCCAAGCAGGCTTCAAGCTCAGTGCTCAGCGCAGAATCCAGCTAGGGGCTCCATCTCAGGACCCTGAGATCATGACCCGAGTTAAATCAAGAGTTGGATGTTTAACCAGCTGAGCCACCCACGTACCCTATGAACTTAGGACTTTTAAATAATTTTATCACCTCAACAAACATGACCTCTAGGTATTCATGGTCTAAAGGGACCATCCAAGTTTTATTTTTATTCTGCAAACTGAGTTTTTACAGTATTATCACCAAAACAAATGAAAATAGCATAACAAAACAAAGAAAAAGCTCTGCCTAGAGTAACCTTTTTGTCATCTATTGTTTTTTAAATATAGAGAAACAAATAATGGCTGAGAATAAGAATTACCTCTCTATTTCTATACTCAAAAAAATAACATCAGTCTCTCAGTCGTAACCCATTTAAAAATATATTATTATATATCTTTTGGAAGTTCAGTAACAGAAATACATTTAGAATAAAATTAACTTCTCAGTGTGTGCATTTCATAAATTAGCATGGCTTACAAAGATTAATATTTGAACAAACTATTTCAAATATGTTTTTGAGAAATCTGGCTCAAAATTTAACAATAAGTTAAGATTTAAGAAAGTACTCAAGCAAAATGCCTCAGTCATATTTCCCTAGGATCTTTTTCTGTGTGGTTCCCTATATTTGTGAATATTACAGTATGTCTTTCATATTAGAGAAATTTTTCTTTTCTATAGTTTGGAATAGTAATTTTAGGTTATTTAATTGCCTTGCTTTTTAAATAACAAGGACACTTGAGGAAAGACCAGACTCCAACTTGTAAAGACCTAAATGGAGAGAAGGTGGAGAGGAGCATAATAGCATTCAATTTTCTACATACCAAATGTTCTCCTGCTAACAACATATTCCTTTAAATTACCCCTTTACTCTGGAAGTTTCTTTTAATGTGTGTATAAATAGCCAAGCACAAATCATATGCTTGTAATGGAAAACATTATAGCCACACAGAGGACAGAACACTAACTAGAAAATCAAGAGACTGACCCTTCCACTGGCTAATGTTTAAGTGAGAAAGGTTAGTTCTTACTTCCAGCCTTCAATTTCTATCTGGATCAAGTAAAGGAGATGAGCTAAATGATCTCTAAATCCCACTCTAACTGAAAAATATGAAGATCTGTAATCTAATGATTTTTTTCTACATTGCCTCCACAAGAGGGCATAATAAAAACATTTATGTTAGTTGATTAAACTTAGCCAATGTCATCAACCATCTCTGAAATCAGAATGCATCTTAACAATGGACATTGTAACCATTCTAGTTGGTGATGCCTTTTCTTTCGTAATGGTACATAAAATAGTGGTTTATCTCACTATAAGTGATGACATCTTAGATTTGAGGAAATATGTTAATAGGATAGCTGTAGGATTCAATTCAGTAAGGAGTATCTGAGGTTGTTTTAAGTGACAGAAGGAGCACAAAGAAAATAGAGCACAGAGTTGAATTTGAATAAGATAAAACAGCACTTTATCAGGCAGTAAGCGACTGGCATGGGGGGAAAGAAGCAGTATTTAAAAAGCTAGAATACAGTTAAATGCAAAAAAGATGATCACATCAGTATGACAGTATCATTTATACTTAGAGACATAAACAAGTGCATGATTTATAGTGTGTTTATTTTCTAATCTGTCCCGATGACCAGGAGGGAAACCAAGTATAGGCCGAGAGCCACTTTAACACTGCCTCTAGAAAATAGGGATATTCCTTTAGAGTTAATACTCATATCCATAGAGCATTGAAAAGCCCTTTATTACAGTTCAGTTTTGTTTTGTTCTGGCCTCACACCTTTCTCAGGAGGGTCAGGACAAAAGTAATTTTTCTGTTATGCCTAACGGTGGACTAGGATATCCTGGTGTCCCCCCAGAGGACACTGCAAGACCCCACAGTGATGGAAGGCCATCTCATCTTTAGGACAGAGCATTGGCTGGAGCCATCAACTGCAGTCAGAAAATGTGCTTGTGCTTGGGGAAAAAAAAAAACACAACATTTTTAATTATTGGTTTGAAATATGTGCTCTTTCCCTATCAACCAATTAAAACCCTAATCTGTCTTTGTTATTCTTAGACAGTTCTCAGAAAATACTTCAACTTTGTTGGTTTCAACTTTGTACCAATTTTCTTTCTCTGTTTTAGAAAATAAATTGGGATGATTTAGCTGCCAAAAAAGTGCTCGCGCCATTTAAGCCAGTCATCCGAGACGAATTAGATGTGAGTAACTTTGCAGAAGAGTTCACGGAGATGGACCCCACCTACTCGCCCGCAGCACTGCCCCAGAGCTCCGAGAGGCTGTTTCAGGTAATCTCCAGGAGCATGCTCATGCACAGAGGCCACATGTGCTCTGGAAAAAAGATTAATTTTCCCATATGAAAAGTGTTCTTGGCATCTAAAAAACAAGATTCTCTAATCTCTTCAAAATTATCAAATATAGAGATACTGCCCATTATTAACTGAAGCTTAGGGTCTGTGAAATAGTAGATATTACTTATGTGGTTTTTTTTTATATAAAGTGGTGCTGATTTCTTACTTGAAATTTTATTTCTGTTCAGGCTCTCTTATAGAAAAATACAATACTACTTTATTTTACCTCTATCCATATAAAATTTTCTTCAGTTCATAAAAAGTGTTACCTGATTCTTTCTCCTCAGTGAGTAATCTAAACTGCTTTCTAACTCCTGAAGATTTGGAAAAGATTTAATACTTAGAAAAAGATCTTCCTCAGACTTGCAATACTCTAACTTTTTTTTTTTTTAAAGATTTTTTTAAATTTATTTATTTGACAGAGAGATAGCACAAGTAGGCAGAGCGGCAGGCAGAGGGACAGGGAGAAGCAGGCTCTTGCTGAGCAGGGAGCCCGATGCGGGGCTCGACCCCAGGAGCCTGGGATCATGACCTGAGCCGAAGGCAGACGCTTAACCGACTGAGCCACCCAGGCGCCCCATCAATACTAACTTTTAAATGGCATCAGATCTTCCCTTCTTGACCCTCGTTAAGTGTCCCATTGGTAGGGCTTAAACTGGTCACCTGGGCTGTGTCTCTGGACCTTAAAGACCCTAACATCTAGCACATGACTGGGCACAGAGTAGATATCTAAAAAATGTTCTTCAAACTGATGAATGTTCCAGCTTGAACAGATTAATCATCTATCACTATACCACTTTTGGTTCAGCACATCATTCTGACGTTTGATTTTATTTCTTTCCCAAAACTCAATTTAAAATTTTTAGTCTAAGGAAGGATAATGAGCCAAATAATTGCTAAATTAGAAACAAACTGTAGCCTTTGGAATAACAATAAACAAGAGCCCTTGGACTACTTTGTTTAATACCTTAAACTCTACCCTTTCGAGAAGTTAGTTGTATTTGTAAGCGAACTTTTATCAGCAATGCAAAAGAATTACAGCTGTGATCTCCTCCAGTCCCATCCATGTTGATGTAAAAGTTGGGTATTCATCCTTTCTGATGGGACTGGAGGAGATTATGCTAAGTGAAATAAATCAAGCAGAGAAAGTCAATTATCATATGGTTTCACTTATTTGTGGAACATAAGGAATAGCATGGAGGACATTAGGAGAAGGAAGGGGAAAATGAAGGGGGGGAAATCGGAGGGAGAGACGAACCATGAGAGACTATGGACTCTGAGAAACAAACTGAGGGTTTTAGAGGGGAGGGAGGTGGGGGGATGGGTTAGCCTGGTGATGGGTATTAAGGAGGGCACGTTCTGCATGGAGCACTGGGTGTTATACGCAAACAATCGTGGATCACTACATCAAAAAACTAATGATGTATTATATGGTGACTAACATAACATAATAAAATAAAATAAAATTTAAAAAGTAAATAAATAAATAAAAGAATTACAGTTGTGAGTCAGATATTGGGGGTGGAATAGGAAAGGTTTTTCTGCCTTTACTTTTGAATTGGTTTAATTCTACCAGAAGATGGCATTCTCTCCTTTTCTGAAAAGCATTTTTCTATTGATTTGAAATAACCTTGCATTTTAGATTACAAATAAAATGAGATTCATCTTAACACATATTTGAATGTTTTTCAGTCTCTTTTCTTGATTTTAGAAAAAAATTATTACAGTCTGTGCTAACGTGGGAAATTGCAAATCCTCATTCTTTACTCTTCCTTTTCTTTTTTTAGGGCTATTCCTTTGTTGCTCCTTCTATTCTGTTCAAACGTAATGCAGCTGTAATAGATCCTTTTCAATTTCACATGGGAGTTGAACGTCCTGGAGTGACAAATGTTGCCAGGAGCGCAATGATGAAGGTATAGACGTGGTTAATTAAATGACACAGTTATCATTTAAATACCAACACTAATTAACATTGTCAAGGCCGGTGAACATAAGAGACTTGCCGTTTGACTAAGATGCAGTTTTAGGAAATGAATAAGTGGAAATAGCAATATTTGCCCTAGAGAATTAGTCACATCAATTTCAATGAACTCCTTTTTACAACGATAGCCAATTATATGTCTTAAAAAGTTATATAGATGAAAGTAGAAATGAGCTAAAAGTAAGATGAATCTTAGAAGATTCTAAATGTATCCAATGCATATTTATTAACATAAATAATGTTCTTTTCTACAATGTTATTTATTCCTCTGCATTCCTAGTATTTTCTTAAGTTAAATGACGTTGGTTTCTTATCAGGACTCCCCATTCTATCAGCACTATGACCTGGATCTGAAGGACAAGCCACTGGGAGAGGGAAGTTTTTCAATTTGTCGAAAGTGCATACACAAAAAAAGTAACCAAGCCTTTGCAGTCAAAATAATCAGCAAAAGGTAGGACTGTGTCTGGCATTCTTCTGTGTGGATTCATCCCAGTCAATGAATTCTGTAAATTAGGATTTTTATTTTAAAATCAATGGTTTCTTGTAAGGCTTTTCACCCATGGGTTTAGCCATTCAGCTCATTAGCTGATCCATTATCCTTCTGACTCTACTGGATGTTTGCTGTTAAAGTAATCCATCTGAGACATAAATCATAGGGTGACAGGCTTTCGAGGTTCCTGCGAGAACATTTTCTGTTGCAGTGGCAATTATGTGCTCAGCAGCTGTTGCTGTTCCTAATAGTTATAGATTTGAAATACTTTTTTTTTTTTTTTTTCTGAAATGACTTAGCAATTTGCTGGTAGCTTTGCGAACCAGCTCATCGTTTCGGTAACTCATTATTACCTCCATGATTATGTATTCCTATTACCAAAATGTCAGGCAAGTCAGGCATCCATTTCTTCATAGGATTGGCTCTCTTCTGACTCAGAAATAATCATCGTCTCAGGAATAACGCATTACTTGTTCTGGTGGGTAGGATGACTCACTACTGTCATAGAGACCTCATTTTGATACTTTGACAGTTACATTCTGAATGCACTGTCAATAAACACAAAATTCGGGTTGGGACAATTGGGACATAAAAACTTGGTGAAGAGGGGTATGTACATGGGGGCTAACCGCTCTCATCTTGCAGGATGGAAGCCAATACTCAGAAAGAAATCACAGCTCTGAAGCTCTGTGAAGGACACCCCAATATCGTGAAGCTGCATGAAATTTTTCACGATCAGGTATTTGACACAATTTTTCTGTGCATTCTGATTCACATAGAGGGTTCTACTTTTTACCAGTCTTGTTGGTGCTGCGGGATCAGAGTCAGGGATGTGGGAGAATACCCAGCCCCTAGAGAAGGCAGAGAAACTTCTTACCCCTCCCCCAAACCGATGCATCCTTTCACGTCTGCTCTTCTCCCTCAACAGTGGGCACATAGGACGTGGACGGAGGAGAGAGGGGCAGGGGCCGGTGGCGCTGTCACAAGCTGCACTCTGCTTGTCACCCGTTCAGCTGCTGCCCACCGTAGCTGAATCACCGGATAGTTCTCAGTAGTCCGTTACTTATCAGCCTTCAACCTTCTCTTCACTTCCGGATAGAACTTAGACAGTTGTAAGCCTAATTAGTGCAAGCTGAAGAAGAGAGGCGACGCAGAAGGGCAAAGCTGCTCCTCTCATCTTACTCCAGGGGACCAGGTCACGCTGCCCCCTCCTCTCCCGGTCCTGCTTTCCAACAGGGACCGAGTGCAGAAGCGTGTAACTCTGCACGTGGCAGGATTGCCACTGTGTCAGGTCCATGCCTCTTCCCCTCCCCTCCGCTGCCACCTTCCATTACAGTTACCTTTCCCCCTGGGACTGGGTGAGATGACACGCTCCTATTAAGACAACATGCTAAGCACAAGAGCCAAACCCAGTCCTGGATGCGGCTTACCCTAAGTTTAACAAAGAAGAAACAGACTCAGAAGGGTCATGAGACTTGTCTGTGGTCACACCGCAAGGCCGTGAGCGTCTCGTTGGGAAGACCTGGGCTCCCGTCCTGGGCTGTCTCCATGTGCTGCCGTAACACCACGTCCTGGGTAGGCCATGGCCCAGTGCTCTACCATACGGGAAGTTCCCAGGGTACCACGGCAGTGATGTCTTAACCACAATAACCTTGCCCTTTATTATTGCATACCTCACCGGGCCAGGTACCGTCCCAGATTCCACATGTGTTATTCAGTCCTTATAGTAACACCATGGGGTGAGAAAATGGAAACTCACAGAAGTTAAATAACAGGGTCTCACAGTTCGTAAGTGGTAATGCTGGGCTCTAGACCCGAGCAGTCCAACTTCAGAACTCTGCTGCCTCAGGGGAGGCAGAAACATGGAGAGAGCACCCAAAAATGACATTGTCCTCCACTTGCTCTGTGGTTCTCATAGTCAGAAAAGGAGTATCTTTGAAGTGAGGGCTTCGGGGAGCGACTCTCCATGCTCCTCCAATTGCCACCATGTCATCGGGCTACCCAACTCCAGTAGAAGTAATGAGTCCCCCATCCACTGGAGGTGCTTAAAAAGAGCCTGGACATTCTCCTGTTGAAGATGATTCACATGATCATCAAGGGATTGGAGGATGACATTTGACAGTGCCCTCTGGTTTGGGGCTTGTGCCCAGCTACGTCCCCGCAGAGACATTCAGTCTCTTATGTTCAGGCGAGATCAGATCTCAGGAACTGCATCCCTAATTTTGTACTTACGCCACAGGATCAATTTATTATTTGTTATTTTTATATTAAAGAGTTACTGAAGGGCGCCTGAATGGCTCAGTCAGTTAAGCGTCCAACTCTTGGTTTCGGCTCAGGTCATCATCTCAGGGTTGTGAGATCGAGCCCTGAATCAGGCTCCACACTGGGCATGGAGCGTGCTTAAGATACTCTCTCTTCTCCCTCTGCCGTTCTCCCCGAGCGGTCTCAAAAAAAAAAGTACTGACTAAGTTGTGTCATGATATAATCCTATATATACTAGTACAAATATATGAAGATATATTATCATTCTGCTATTGATATCTTGGGTGATTTTCTCCGTATAGATGACATAGTTGCCCTGATCACCCCCAGGTGCACATAATCTTCTCTTCAACTCATGGGTGAAATCGATGAGGGTGGGTCTTCAGCCTCCGACTCAGTGTACCGGGAGCTGTATTTGTTTCCTCTTGCTGCTGTAACAAATTACCACAAACCTAAGCAGTACCAATTTATAATCGTACGGTCTGGAGATGAGAAGTTCAAAATCAGTCTCCCTGGTGTAAAGTCCGGGTGTCAGCAGGGCTGGTTCCTTCTGGAGACTCTAAGGGACAGTCCATTTGCTTGCCTTTTTTTTAGCTTCTGGAGACTGCTCACGTTCCTTGGCTCGTGAACCTTCTTTATATCGCTCCAGTCTCTTGTTTCCATAGTCCCATCCCATACTGTTGCTCTGGTGGATAATTTAGACACTCTTCCCATCTCAAGATCCTTAATTACATCTGCAAAGTCCCTTTACCATATCAGGTAACATCCACACGTTCTGGGGATTTGGATACGGGCGTCTTCGGAGGACCATTATCCAACTGTCTCATATATATTTTCTCACTGTTACCTGTTTTATCAGTAAGGGTCCTAAAGCTCATAGATGTTAAGTAGCATCCCCAGGGTCATAAGTAAGTAGCAGAAGTGCCATTCCGATCCAGGTTTGACTCTAAAACCTACCTTTTAAACCACTTACAGGTATTGCCCTCCCATTTTTTTTTTTTTAAAGATTTTATTTATTTATTTGAGAGAGAGAATGAGATAGAGAGAGCATGAGAGGCGGAGGGTCAGAGGGAGAAGCAGACTCCCCGCCGAGCAGGGAGCCCGATGCGGGACCCGATCCAGGGACTCCAGGATCATGACCTGAGCCGAAGGCAGTCGCTTAACCAACTGAGCCACCCAGGCGCCCTGCCCTCCCATTTTTTTAAAAAGCTCATTGGCATATGCTTGTAGCCGACCTTCAACTTTGACCGTTTCTGTTGTATGTAGAAACTCAAATTAGCTTGATCTCTGGTAGCCTGGAAGCAATTCTCTTATTAAAAAGGTTCACCTTTTAAAATTTGCCCAATATGTACAGGATAATTACCTTTTTTATGAAGCTTTTTTTTTCTGGATTTTGCTAATTCAGAAGGAAGCTTATTTGTTCAATGATGTTGGTTCTGTAATACATAGCACCTGAATCTCTTGATTGGGTATCTTTTTAAACTACATGTTTGTGTTCATTTGAGAGCTGATACAATTCCTTTGCTTTTTGATTGCTCCTATGTTACTTTCTTTATGGACATGTATGCAAGGCATAGTAAATAAATAATTTTAAAACTATTTAATTAAGATAATGCCATTGGTATCCAAAGCAGTTATTAAAAAAAAAAACACACACAAAAACAATAAAACACCACGTTGAGCTCTGGGTATTTGCCGTGGATATTAATAAGGAACCCTGAAACTAATCCGTTGAGCTCTCACAGGAGGTTCAGAGTGCCTTCATGAAACAGCACCTTTTTTAAAAGATGTATTTGCCATTCCGTGGGTGGGTCAGGTCTCCTGTGGGCAGTTGCCCATATACTCTGTCATTAATCTTCTCTATTATTTAAAGCAGACGATTTCACATTATTATCAGCACTAGGTCACACTTTAAAAAAGAAAGATCTGTAAACTTGACAAGAGAGGGTTGGAATGGAATTCAAATGAAAGAATTAGTCAAGGAAGGGATATATAAAGATTTCACTGCAGCACTTGAAATTTTCCATGACCAAAATAGAATTCTGAAAAAGCCACGTTATCCTTCAATTCTTTCCTCTCCATCATTAAGACTTGCTGTTGATTATTTTAACAAGGGATTATCTAAATTTATTGGCAATAGTTAATAGTCCAGGAATGTTTCATCTGTAAATACACTTCTCTTCATGAAAGCCCTCCGCGTTCTTCTTTTTTCCTTTCTAGCTTCACACGTTTCTGGTGATGGAACTTCTGAACGGGGGAGAGCTGTTTGAACGCATTAAGAAAAAGAAACACTTCAGTGAGACTGAAGCCAGCTGCATCATGCGGAAGCTCGTTTCGGCCGTGAGCCACATGCATGATGTGGGCGTGGTGCACAGGGACCTGAAGCCTGAGGTATCACGTGACGTGCTCCCTCCCGTCACTCAGTCTAACCTTCTTAGTACCAAACACCCCCACGGCCGGGTGGGCTTTTCTTGTTTCGTTGTTCAGGGCTTTCTGCTAAATAGATACTTGCAGAGATCCCGTTTCTTGGATTCTCTTTCTCTTCTATTTTAGTCTAAAATAAATTTGTCTTTTTTTTTCTTTTTTTTTTTTTTTGCCAACAGATCATCTTGAGGTTATATTTGTAAGTGTGAGAGCCTTTTATGGAAGAAATACTTTATGCAACAGTTGTGGGCTAAAAATAGCAATGGAAATTTTTGTAGCAGAAAATAATATCCTTTCTATATGTGTATCATTTTAGAGGTTTTTTTTTTAAATAATGTATTGTGAAAGCTTATTTTCCATTTTTGTCATCAAATTGATTAGCTCATGAATAGGAATGTATATAATTCTGTTCTAAATATTTAAACATGAAGAATTGTCTTGGTTTAATTAGTTGTACCATCCCTGTATGTGCTTCTCTTTGCTCATGTATTATATTTATAGAATTGTGTAGCAATGCAGAAGCAGCCCCTTTTTATATATTTCTTCTTTCAAAAGGTTTATAGAAAAGATTCTAGCTCTAGAATATCCCTTTTTAGTATCAAAAATATGAAAATTCCCCCTTTAGGAAATCATCAAAATAATAATGAAAATTAAAAAACAAAACCCAATAATTTATAAAAGCATAACAATGACTCATCCTTTACCATATGCAAAATTACACATATTTCCTCTTTAAAATAGAACTTCATTTTTAATTACCATGTGATTATAATGCATTGTCAAAATTTTTTTAAATAATAATTTACTTGGAGTTTATTTTTTGTGTTAAACCACAAAAGAATATGTCTCTAAAAGTACCATTTTTTGCCTGTTTAAGTATCTTGGATCATTGGTAGGAAGAGGATGTTTTAAAAATGGAATTCTTTATTTTTTTTAAGATTTTATTTATTTATGAGAGAGAGAGAGCACAAGAAGGCAGAGGGGCAGAGGGAAAGGGAGAAGCAGACTCCCCGCTGAGCAGGGAGCCCGATGCGGGGCTCGATCCCAGGACCCTAAGATCATGACCTGAGCCGAAGGCAGATGCTTAACTGACTGAGCCACCCAGGCGCTCCTAAAAATGGAATTTTGTGCATCCAAATATAATTGATTCTAAAGCATGTAAACTTCTGTCTGTGGACTTCCTGTTACTGTTATTCATATTACTAGTAATTAGTCAAAAGTGAGTTGTGTTTTATGAACTTGCCACTATGGTCGCTCCCCCTCTTCTTCCTTCATCCGCGTTCTCACTCTCCTACAGAACACCCACTGAAAATATGGTGCTCTGTACATCAGAGATTAGTGATCTATTTTTAAATGTGAAAGCACACCACTTAAATGTTTTCTTGATAGACAAGGAACAAGCATGTAATTTTTTTAATTGAAAAGATCTGTTCCATGACTGTATAGAATTCATTTTCACATGTTTTATTCTTTGATAACTGGCCATCTGTCATCCCATGAGTCTCAAATGAGGCAACTGTCCTCTCCAACAGAATTTAAATTTGCCTTCCTATTTTACTGATAAAAAAGATACTTATGTTGCTTAATTCTTCTTATTTGTTACAAACCTTTTCTTTCAAATAATCATTTGAAATGAAGAATTGTCAGATTATTTAGGACATTCTACTATAGTTATAGCCCTAAATCAAAATAAACTTTGGAGAGATGAAAATGTGCCTTTGTACTAACATCTTCATAATAAAATAACTTTCACTTGGACTTTTAAATGGCAGAGTATATTATTTCCAGACTAAAAGTTTAATTCCTTTTCCATTGATGTCATATTTTAAGATCTGATTATATATCTTTTGATTTATATTTACGTGGCCCTGGCTTTCTGCTTAGGCAAAATCCTAAATTCTAGGTCAGCAGCAGACAAATTTAGAAGCTGGCTAACATTCCTGGTGGGCTGCTTTGTACTTTTCAAACTGGACCCCATACTCTTGAAAGATTAAGAAAAACTACATCAAATTAGTTTCAGGTGGGACTTGAGATGAAGCTGAAAGGCCCTTGCTTCCTGCCACCCCTCCCCATGCACACCCAACTCCACTCGGAGAGTAGAGTCTCCTTCATTTCAAGAACGGTGGCTAAGGGAGTCCTCTGCCAGCCTTAATATAGAGTAAACTGAAGTCATTTCCAAAGGCTCAGCAGGCTCAGTGAAGCCGGGGGCCAGGGGTGCTTTTCACGCCTCTGCACATAGCGCAGTGCTTGGCCACAGAGGGGCTCAGCAGTCGTTTGCTGAGAGACTTCTCCCGAGTGCAAGCGCGTGGACCCCAGCTCTGACTTAGTGGTGGTGAACCCTACATTCAATCACGTCCACATTTTAATTCCATCACAAATTCAGGATCAAGCATTGTATAATAGAACATTTAAGAAAACTTTTAAATATTTTTGCTTTTCTTTCCTCCCACTTTATTCATTTTTAACTTTTGAATGGAAGGTGTAGAAGATTTTTCTTCTTGGTATGAATGAAGCCTTCTGCGATGTCTTTTATTTTAGCTGGAATAATAGTAACAAAGCAAATGATGTTGCAGATCTGAGGAATAATTTAATAAACATAAAGACACATAACAGGTTTTGTCAGGATGTCTGAAGACAATATAATTGGAGTCACTTACTGTGGGTACTAGCTTGATAGACTAATAAAAGTGATGACTGTGCATCAGACAGCATTTATTAAATGTGTGATAAACACAAAAACAATACAGTAAAGCCTTAGTGACCGAGAAGGCTTGGCAGATGAGGGATTCAAGAGAACAGTGTTTTCTGAATAACTGAGGGATATTATCCATTAAGCATCAAAAAATGTTTAAATATTAATTGTTTTAGAGAAAATATTTCTGAAATGTAATGTATGTCTTTACCATGTCTTCTTTCTTTCTTTCTTTCTTTTTTGAAGTTTTTTTTTATTTATTCAAGTAATCTTTACACCCAACGTGGGGCTTAAACTCACAATCCCAAGATTAAGAGTCACATGCTCTTCCAACCGAGCCAACCAGGAGCCCCTACCGTGTCTTTTTAATAGGATATACTAGAGACAGCTATTTTATTTATGACTATTCAATGGACAGATGTTTACCAAAGCACCTACTATATGAGTGCACCAGGTTTTAGGAATAGAGTCATAAATAAGGGGGACACATAGTCCCTGCCATTAGGGAATTATGGCCTAATGGGGGAAGAAGACTTTGAATTTCTAATACCAAGATGCTAAGTACCAGAAAGAAAAAATATGCTAGCAGAAAATAGAAAAAGTCCTAACTTCAGTTTGGTGGCACATGAGGGTGGTATCTCCAAACGAGGAGTAGGTGCACATGAGCCACGTCAGAAAGGAGGTTGATGGAGGAGGTAGAGGGCAAATACCATGAGAGAGAAAAATGTAGACAAAGACTCTGACGTGGGAAGAGGCGTGGTACAGTCGAAAAGTGTTTCACAGGACATCATTACAATTGAAATAATATAAAAAAGCGTAAGGCAGAGAACAATAGTACGCTGACATCCAGCTCCCAGACCCTCCCCATCAGATCTCTCTCTGCATTTGAATCCAGTATCATCGTATAGCTAGATACATAAATGGCATCCCCAAGTCCCAGGACATTATCACGAGAGACTAACTGAAGTGTTTGTATCTTGCAGAATTTATTGTTCACTGATGAAAATGACAATTTGGAAATTAAAGTAATCGATTTTGGGTTTGCACGCTTAAAGCCACCTGATAACCAGCCTCTCAAGACGCCCTGCTTCACCCTGCACTATGCGGCCCCCGAGCTCTTGAATCATAATGGCTACGATGAGTCCTGTGACCTCTGGAGCCTGGGCGTCATTTTGGTGAGTTCATTTCCCTAGGGCCATTAAACCTAGTCGGTTTCTGGATGGCCTCTTACCTGTCCCTCTCTCTCTCTGCTGTTTTTCTTCAAGTTGTGGGGAAAATTGGCAGATTGGTGTACAACCAATGAAAGTTCTGACCCAAGACTATTTCCCTTTTTTTTTTTTTTGACATCCAAATGTCCAACAGACACATGAAAAAGTGCTCAACGTTGCTCGGCATCAGGGAAATCCAAATCAAAACCTCAGTGAGATACCACCTCACACGAGTCAGAATGATTATTTCCCTTTTTCAAAATTTACGTTGGAGACAACATAGGAGCTTTTATTTTGGTTTATTTTGAAATATTGAAGGCACTATGTTTTATGTGCATAAGAGTTTATATAGTTGTTTTTTTTTTTAAGAAGCAATAGTATATTTTCAAAAGATACGTTTTTATTTCGGTTTATTTTGAAATATTGAAGGCACTGCGTTTTATGTGCATAGGAGTTCATATAGTTTTTTTTTTTAAAGAAGCAATTTTCAAAAGATAGGCATATTGGATATAATGTGAAAATAGCAAACTGACTTATTAATAGGAAAACATTAAAAAATACATTCTGGGGCACCTGGGTGGCTCAGATGGTTAAGCGTCTGCCTTCGGCTCAGGTCATGATCCCAGGGTCCTGGGATCGAGTCCCACATCGGGCTCCCTGCTCCTTGGGAGCCTGCTTCTCCCTCTGCCTCTCTCTCTCTGTCTCTCATGAATAAATAAATAAAATCTTTAAAAAAAAAATACATTCTGTGAGATTTTCAGATGAAAAATGTAATTAAAGAAGATAATTTAGGATAAATTAACAAATTAATAGATAAAGAGAGAAATATTTATAGTAACTTGTAGTAATCATGGTAAGCATGCTTTTCACAAAATGTCCTTGGCTGTGGTGATCAGAAACAGAACATTAAGCTAGAAAAATCTTGGCATGTTTCTTCTCAAAATAGCTTGACTTTTTCTGCATGTAATTTGTAATGCATAATCTTTGAGAGAAAATTTCAGACAAATACAGAAAGATTTTAAGGAACAAGTGAAATCACTCATAATCTCATTGTGTGGAGATGATGTGCTCAAGCTCCCCCGCTCCCTAACCGCACCCCCCGCCGCCTTCCGCCACCATGTTATGTGTGTTTTCTGTCAGCTATGTGGGATTTTTAACAAATGAGATTATATTACACATGTGGTTTGGGCCTCCAGAGTACATTTAACCATTTCTTTACTAATGAGCAGTTAGTGTTTTCCAGTGTTTCACTAATTACAAACTACGCAAATGAATTTTTTTTTTTACATATGTGGCTGAATTTGTCTCATTATTTCCTTGGAGTAGACTCCTACAAGAAGGGCATGCACATCTTTATTTTGACATATATGCCTGGATTTCCTTCTAGAAGGTTTAACAGATCATGCATGTTCTCATCAACTGTATGCAAATACATCATATACTATCGATTTCAATCTTAAATTATTTCCTACTGTTGTTGTAATTTGCATACATTTCTTTGATGAATATTCAGTTTTGAGCATCTTTTCATGTATTTGGACATTCATATTTTCTTTTTTATGAATTGCTGTTTATGAGCTTTGCCCATTTTCCTGTGGGGAAATTTTTCTTATTTTAAAGCTCTGTGAAGAATTTTAATCCTTTGTCTGCCAATGACAAAAAATCGATATTTTTTTCTGATTTGGTTATTTGAAAACTTTGTTTATAGTAATATGGGACTTTCTTTTGGGTTTTAGGGCGGTTTAATGGAGAATTTTTTTATTTCTATGTAGTAAGATGTCAGTCTTTCCCTTATGATATGTGGCTTTGATGTCAGATTATCCCTCCACCCCTACCCCAACCCAAGATGATAAAAACATTCTCCTAAATTTTCCTCTAGAATTATATTTTATTTTTATACTTAAATCTGTACTCCATCTGGGATTTATTTTGGTGTCAGCTTGTTTTCCCCCAGTGGCTAGCCAGTTGTCTCTACAGGATGGTTCTTCTTTTATTTTTAAGTTTTATATGGTCTTCATTTCAGCAATTTTAAGTCATCATTTATAATTTTCAAACTAAAATTAAATATTAATGAATACGATCTTTTAAATAAAAATAAACAACTAACTTCTATAGATTGGAGAGTTTCGTGTTAAGGACTTAAACCTATTCCATATTCATTAGCATTCTCCTAAAAAATTAGTCTAAGTCAAAAGGAGCTTTCCAACTTTAGTAGTAATATAAAATTACCCCTTGTAAAAGAGCCTTTACTTTAAATATAGGTCAGTTATAATCATCACCCTCTTTAAGGTTTTAAAAGACAGTCTTAGACACGCGGACAGGTATTTTCAAGCTTCTGAACGCCGTATCTGTGGAAATAACTTTGTGTAATGGCATGGATATGGAAGCCATGCTTCTCTCTCGAGCTACTTGTCAAGTTGTTAAGACAAGCGGGGGACAAAGAACCGCTTAAGTGATAGCACAGAAGTACAACCACAATATCCAGACTGTGGGAAGTTCTACAGGAGAAATAACCCAGTTTTTCCTGTGACAAAAAAGATAGCCCGAGAACCTATAAACTAAAAGACGCTTCTGAAGCAATATTTACACTTACTTGAATTCTGATTCAAGCAAATTCTAATTTCAATCCTATTTATTAAATTCAAACTCTAAGTCATACAGATGTAATTGTAATAGATATATACAATGTATGTGACACAGTTGCAAAAATCTGAATATTGATTGGATACTGAATGATATAAAGGAATTACTGCTGATTTCTTTTAGGTGTCATCATGGTGTTGTGGTTGTGGTTTTTAAAAAATCTTTGCCTTTTAGAGATACACAATGAAATACAGACGAAGAACAAAGTTAGCACGTGCATTAAACGGTGCTAAAACAGAGTGCTTTGCAAACTTTCCCACATGAATGAATGCATACCTCCAGAAGATCTAGATACAAAGCCTCAGTTATTCCATAGCAAGCACAAAGTTTATTTGGAGTCTCTGATTTGTCTTAGAAATCTATGGCCTTTTGCGGCCCCTGGCTGGCTCAGTTGGTGGAGCGTGCAACTCTTGATCTCAGGGTTGTGAGTTCGAGCCCCACATTGGGTGTAGAGATTACTTAAAAATAAAATCTTAAAAAAAAAAAAAAGAAATGGAAATCAATGGGCTTTTTGTGTGTTGTATCTAATAAACATGACTGTGGCTATTATAATATGAAAATAATTTACATTACCCCCGTTGAGTAAAACAAATACTCCAGGAAGCTGCATCATGTAGTCTCATATGGCTTGACTACAACCCAGTCTGCCTCGTGGATATGCAGTCCCTGTCAGAAACATACAGGACTTTAATTAAAATAGAGCTTACCCAGTGTCTTAGCTTGGTCCTGCCATAACAAAACGCCACCAATTAGGTGGCTTGAACAACAGAAATTTATTTTCTCACAGGCTGGAGAGGCTGGAAAGTCCAATACCAAGATGCCAACAGTGTTAAGGTCTGGTGAGGATTTTCCCCTTGGGTTGTAAACAGCCACCTGCTGTCTGTATCCTCACATGGCCTTTCCTCAGTGAGTGTGCCTGGAGAGAGAGCATGAGTGAGCAAGCTCTCTGCTGTTTCTTTTTATAAGGACACTAATCCCATTGGGTCAGGACCCCGCCCTTATGACTGCGTGTAACTTTAATTAACCTTCATAAAGGCCCCTGTCTCTAAATATAGTCACATTGGGAGTTGGGTCTTCAACATACGAATTTTTTTTAAAGATTTACTTATTTATTAGAGAGAGAGAGACTGTGCATGTGCACTTGTGAGCAGGCAGAGGGGCAGAGGAAGAAAGAGAGAGAATCTCAAGCAGACTCCCCACTGAGGGAACCTGAAGCAGGGCTTGATCTCATGACCCTGAGATCATGACCTGAGCCGAAATCAAGAGTCAGACGCTTAACCAACTAAGCCACCCAAGTGCCCCAACATATGAATTTTGGAGGCAAGCAAGCATTCAGTCCCTAAAACAAAGTATTTATGTAGGATAGGATTATGTGCCACCCAATGGGTATATATAATTCCACTTAAAACATAATTCCTCCAAGTGTTTTATTTAGGAGACTTTATTGTTTTACTTTTTTCTCAAAATTTCATTTTGGAAATTTCAGACCTAGAAAAAATTTGAGAGAATAATACTGTAGAACATCTAACATTTTGCCACATTTCCTTTTTCTTTCTCTCGAATTCTGTCTTGTGTGCACACTCTCCGTGTGTGTGTGTGTGTGTGTGTGTAGGTACATATATATGTGTGGTCACGCAAATATATAGATATATCTTTATGTATGTAAATACTTGTTTGCCACACCATTTGCAAACAATTTGCCTGCACAAAATTATTTTTAACACAAGTTGATTGCTGGATAATCAACTAAAATTGTAAGATCCTGGAGTTAAGAGGAGCCTAAAGTTTATTTCTACCTCTTCTAGAGCAGGGATCTTTTCTACAAGGTCCCTGATCACCGGTCTCCTTTAAATACTTCTAAAGATGGAGAATTAGTTTTTCTGCCCAATAGCCTGTTGCATTATTACACATCAGAAAGCAAGAAAACTGTATTTATAAAGGTTACATTTTTATATTTAGCTACATTCATATCCTTTAGGAATTAGGGTAGGATTAAGAAATGGAATGTATTTTGGAAAACTGTTTGGCAGTATCTACTGAACATACACAGACCAAATGACCCAGCAGTTCATCCTCAGGAATAAACCCAAGAGAAATTGTATTTTTATGTTCCAAAAGATGTGTATAAGAAAAAAAAAAAAATATATATATATATATACATATATATATCATGTTTCAAAAATATCCCAAACTGTAAACAAATCAAATGTTCATCAACAATAGAAAGGTATTCTAATCTGGGCTACGTAGAAAGCAGAACCTGAAGCTAAAGTATGTTTCATCATGTTCCTAAGGAGCATAATCCCAGGAGAAAGAAGAAAGCGGAGGAAGAGCAATTGCAGAGCATGCACACGTGGCTTGCTACCTGTTGTATAGTGCAGCTGATCACTTGAGTTCATGAACCAAGACCTCTAAAGAAGCAAACTGCAAGTTTGCAGGGTCCGAAACATGAATTTTTTAAGTGGGCCATGTACCCATAAAATCTAGATATGGGGGCAGTGCCTGGGTGGCTCAGTCAGTTAAGTGTCCGACTCTTGATTTTGGTTCTGGTCATGATCTCAGGGTCGTGAGATCGAGCCCTGCATGGGGCTCCACGCTGGGCATGGAGCCTGCTTACGATTCTCTCCCTCCCCCTCTGCTCCCCCAGTTGCGGTTTCTCTCCCCCCCCTTCTCTTTCTCTAAAAAAAGAATCTAGGTATGGGGGACCCAGCACCAGCTGATGGTTCAATACAATGCTCAAGGACAGAGCTCCAACCCCACAGGGTATTGTCCTGAGCAGGTGCCTTCACTGAGTTTTTCGTGTTCTAATAGACCATCTATCAAGCCAACCCAATTTCCTTTCTTGCTCCATCAGTTGGTCATCGGGAACCCCTCCTCAGTGAGGCCATTGGCTTGAGTTAAGAAGTGTTGATGCAGCAGAGATAGGTAACGTACACCCGTGGATGTAACTTACTCCTGCCTTCTGGACCTCCTAGGGCTGGTTCTAAGTGTGCCATGTCCATAGTACATGGGGTTGCTGCTGCGACTTCATGAGTCAGCACAACTGCTCATCCTAGCACACGATGCACTGCTCTTGGTATCCCTTCTGTGGGCACGCAAGGTCTACTAGGAACCAGGAGCATCCAGGAGCTCTTTTTCAGAGTAGTTCTCTGCCACAGAAGGCAAGAACCCCACCCCAGAATCCTTCACGTCTGCTCTGCGACTCTCCTCGTGCACTTGCCAGAGACTCTGCACAGCATTCTTACCTTTCACAGATACCTCTACCGCAGTCGAGTCAGCCAGATCCTAGGGCCTCGGTAGCAGGGTGGTTGTGTTACAGCTGGGACTTGCTGCGGAATCCTCTTTACTCCGGGCCCCACTTAAAACTGGTAGCCTCCGCAGTCACTTGATAAACGGATTGGAGCAGTATTCTCGAGAAGAGCGATATATGCCGTCACCAAAATCCCAAGAAGCCCACTAAGTCCTGTGCCTCTTTCTCAGTGGTACAAGGTACAGCAATTTGTCTTTCAGGGGCAAGTCTCTATGCCCCTAACCATGGGAGCTCTAAAACGTTCTTACCAGTGTGACAGTTCCCTGAATGTTCGTCCAGTCTGTCTCCCATCCTCTGGTGTTCATGTGCTTAGAAGGCATTTAGGATACGCTAGTTCCTGCTCACCAGGTCTCCCTTCGTGAAGACATCACTACAGAGGGCCAGCATGGGGTTCTTGAGAATGTCGAGATGGTCGAGGGCCTAACAGACTGTATTATAACAGAGTGGGAGAGTTCGGACAGCTCTCAGACAAGACAGTGAAGGCTGTCCTTGCCACATAAGGACTTACTGCTTTGATCTTTCCTATTGACAGAAATCAAGAAGAATCTAATGGCCAGATCAGTAGGTGCTTATCAATGCCAGCACCATATTGACTTGTACCACATTCAGCGTGGCAGCTGATCCCGGCTGGTCCATTTTAGCCAGGGCCCTCAGTTCCTTTGGTGTGGACACTCTTCCCTGTTCTCCTAAATTCTTCCTCCCCAGGGACCGCACTCCTTGATGTGGTTGTGTATTAGCTTTTGCTTTAGACTCTGCTCTGTGGGGAACCCGGGCTAAGATAGTTGGTGCCAGCAGTGATCTAGAAAGTGGACCTTTAGGAAGGGACTTTAAAGTTGCGTGGCTCGCTGTTCTGATTCCCCCACTTTGCATCAGGAATGCGGTCCCTGCTGCCTCCCAACCAGAGAAAGAGGAGGCAGGGAAAACAGAGTGAGGTTGGGTGTCCCACCGAGCTGGCTAATGCTCTTACCAAATGCAGTGGGTTGCTCAGTCCTGTTACATTTATTATAAAGCTGAAGAAACAGTCTAAGAGAGCTTAACAAATTTGCCCAACTAGTAACTAAACAGCTAGAAAACAGAAGCTGGTAAGTAAAAAAGCAGGAAGCCAGGTGTGTCTGACTCAAAAGCTCATGTTCCCCTCCCGCCGTGTGTCTTGTCTGTGGAGTAACATGGCAGATGGCGGAGGCCCTGGTCACACCTCGCGGAAAGTTACACCGTGCAGGGGGGGGATGGTTGCCAGCTCGAAAGAAAAATGGCCTTCTAAGGAGCCCGAGCAGCTGGAGCGCCGTCAGGGGGGCCGAGGAGCTGTGGGTGCGGAACGCGGGGCGGGAACCCCGGGGACCTCCGAGGCTGAGCCGGGCGGGCGGGCGGGCGGGCGAGGGCGGAGCCTGCAAGGTGCCGGGGCCGCGTCGGGACGTCTGCGCAGGGAGACGCCGGGGAAAAGCTGTAGGCTGCTGAGCGTCACTGTGCGGGGAGGGTAAAGGAGACGAGACTGAGGGAGGTGCTTGGTTTTCTTAAATAGCTGTCGTTGGTCTTCGGGCGTCTTCGCAGTTCCCTCCTTACAACAGATGTCTTCGCGTCAGCGTGCTCCGAGTCAGTGCCCGGGGTCTCTTCTCCTCTTCTCCTCGGCGCCTTCGGTTTTCACGCCCTCCATCCTGGCGAGCCCAGCTCTGTCCTCTCAGGCACGGCGTTTCCGTACAGGAAGTCCGAGTCCGCCGGAGCCTCCTGGTCTCTGCTCTCCTCAGAGGAGCCACGTTTCTTCCCTCTTTCTGGCGCCTCACTCCTTCGTGTTCAGTCCTCCCCGCCCAGGGTTTGTGGGCTGCCCACCTAGTTGGATCTCCTGCTGTCCCCTCTTAATGTCCTTTTTATTGTCCGGTCTGGGAGCGTCCATGTTTTCTGAGGGCCGGTGCGTCATGACGGAGCCTGCTTGTCACACACGTGGCCGCAAAAGAGAAATGGCCGAGTCCTTCCAGGTCCCTGGGACTTCTCGCTGGGTGCCCACCTCCTCCTGAGGGCTGGGCTTGGAACGGAGACCCTCCTCTGTGTGCCTTCGTGAATAACTGCCGTGGTGGGCGGGCTCCTACTGAGAGCGCCAGCCCCTGCTCGCTGTGCGGTGCTTCCGGGGGCTCTGCGCTCGGACACTGTCGCTTCACCCCGCCGTTCATGGCCGGGTGTCACCTCCGCGGGCCCGTAAGTCTCTCAGCGAGCAGAGAGAAAACCCTGCAAGAACTCTGAAGTCTATATTCAGTCTCTGCTGCAAAGACGAGCCCTACTTAGCTTCTCAGTTTTTCTGTTGACTTTTTAAAGGGCAAAAACCTTAAACATAAATTTTCAAACACATGGCCACAGTGAAAACAGGTGGTTGTAGAGAATTCAATTTAACGCCACGATGAGAAAAATAAAATTAAAGTTGGTCATTGGTCTTCGGGCCATGTTTGAAGCCCTGGGCGCCTGGGTGGCTCAGTCGGTTGGGCGACTGCCTTCGGCTCAGGTCGTGATCCCGGAGTCCCGGGATCGAGTCCCGCGTCGGGCTCCCTGCTCGGCGGGGAGTCTGCTTCTCCCTCTGACCCTCCCCCCTCTCGTGTGCTCTCTCTCATTCTCTCTCAAATAAATAAATAAAATCTTAAAAAAAAAAAAATGTTTGAAGCCCTTAACCACAGTTAATGTCCTGAGGAAAGGATGTATGGAACTGAATAGAAAAAAAAAAGTTATTGAAAGGTTCTGCTCTCTCTCAACTTTCTGTTAATATTAGTACTATCTTTTCTGAAGTAGTTGGAGTATCCTTGTTTTGTTCTTCTTGCTCTTTAAATTTTGATCTAATAAGCTGTCTCACTTTATTTACAAGGCTTTGAAATGTGTTTGTTGCTTCAGTGATAGAAGTCTACATAATCTTTTAAACCCAATAATGCTGGTCGTAGTATTTGGTAAATTATGCTGATGAAGTTAGTAATGAAATGACTAGCATGGCTTTGACAGTGACTTTGGCAGACATTCTGTTTTGTTCCTTTTTTTTTTTTCTTGATAGTATACAATGTTGTCAGGGCAAGTTCCATTCCAATCTCATGACAAAAGTTTGACATGTACCAGTGCGGTGGAAATCATGAAGAAAATTAAAAAGGGAGATTTCTCCTTTGAAGGAGAAGCCTGGAAGAATGTATCCCAAGAAGCTAAAGATTTGATCCAAGGTAAGACTCTAATGAAACTTTATATCGTGTATAATGTGTGGTGATTGAAGTGGAATCCTACCCATTCACATATATCTGTTAATTACTCAAGAAATTCACGTGTGTTCTAGAAGGTGTCCAGGTTGCTCTACTGAGCCTTATTTTCTTCTTCACTATCCCTTAGTAATCTTATCCACATCTGCAGGGTCCACAGCATCTCAATCTAACACCTCCAAAGTGCACTGACACTGTTTTACTATCCTTTCCCCCAAAATATGCCCCTCCCATCCCCCTCTTGCACTGCCAGGCAGCCAGAATGGGCGTCACCATCCGCCCCCCACCTTGCTCGCCTTCCACAGCCAGCCACCCAGTCCTGCAGTTCAGCGTCCGGCCTCACCACCCCCTCGTCCCCATTCACGTGGCCGCCCTCAGTTCCCGCCGTCCCTTCTGTCCTGAGAGCCCACAGCCCCTTTCAGTTCGTCTCACTGCCTCTGCCTTTACCTGTCCGGTATCAATCAGCAGAGCGACCTTCCTCATATCCAGATGTGATCGTGCCCCTCTTCTGCTAGAAGTCCTTCAGAGAGGCCCCCGTTAGCTTCAGGTCAGACTGCCGTACGGGAGCATTTGAAATCCAGAGCCTTTCAGGACCTGGCCCTGCCTGCGCAGGCCTCCTGCTACCCTCACGCTGCCTTTGAATTCTTCAAATGTGCCAGCGCTCAGATTCCCGCATGATGCCACGCTTGCTCTTTCCAGTCCTGGGGCACCCCTCTTCATCCAGCCCACTTGTCTTCATCCTCCAGGACTCAGCTTCTGGAAGCCTTCCAGGGTGACTACACTGCGGTCAGAGCCGTGCCCTTGGGTCGCCGACACACTATGGGTGGGGATGTTGCTATTGTGCTTGTCTCCTCATGCTGTCAGAGCTCGTTTTTGTCTGTGTATCTCCCCATAGCTCCTCTTTGGGTCTCCATCTCCACATCTCTAGTGCCTTACTGCACCCGCTGGCTTGTACAAGGTGTTGGTACATGAATGAAGTACATCTAGGCATTCCCCGTTCCTGTGGAGCTTCCCAGTCTTTGTGTTGGGTGCCAATTTCCTCCTGATTGAGAAGCCAGTTAGCCTGCAGTAGACGTAGGCTATTGTGGGCCTTGTCATTAACATTCAGGATTTACTAGGGGATTGAAATGTATATGAAAATGTAATGACCTTGGTAGAAGGTTGACGCCTTATTGAAACCATTGTGTCATGTGAACCTAACTGAGATTTATGTTTGAAACAAATCATAAAATAAAAATGTCTTGGGGCGCCTGGGTGGCTCAGTCATTAAGCGTCTGCCTTCGGCTCAGGTCATGATCACAGGGTCCTGGGATGGAGCCCCGCATCGGGCTCCCAGCTCAGCGCGAAGCCTGCTTCCCCCTCTCCCACTCCCCCTGCTTGTGTTCCCTCTCTCGCTGTGTCTCTCTCTGTCAAATAAATAAATAAAATCTTAAAAAAAAAAAAAGTCTTAATTATTCCCATAGGACTCCTCACAGTCGATCCAAATAAAAGGCTTAAAATGTCAGGCTTGAGATACAACGAATGGCTTCAAGATGGTAGTCAGCTGTCCTCAAATCCTCTGATGACTCCGGACATTCTAGGATCTTCGGGAGCTGCTGTGCAAACCTGTGTGAAAGCAACCTTCCACGTAAGGCCCTGCGCTCTGCACGTGGCAGGCGGGTTTGAAAAGGAATCAGATGTGTTTACTCCGTAACTTCTGAGACGCACTCTTAGTAGTACATTTAAAAGAATGTGTTATTTTCATTCTAGGTGTGTTTTTATAAATCTCTCCATGATATAAACACATTTATTAAAGCAGAAGGTATGTGGGGGACCGAGTCACTGCTAACCCACAAAATACTTACTTGACATTTTGGATGAGTTTGTGAGTGAGGCAGTAGTTTGATATTTGAAGAGTTGAAATTTTCAGTAGATAATGAATACAATATGCATGATATTGGAACTTTTATCTCTCAAAGAGCCTCACTCACTTTCTCTAAAAGCTGTACGTAAACGTTAGGAACTAAGGCACGTGTCCCAAGTCCGTTCACTCCCTCAGCAGCCATTTATGCATTACATATCCTAGAGACCGTGAGGGATAGGGAATAAGAGTATGTGTGCATTTGTGCCGAGCAGATGCAAATGCTTGAAGATAATTGTATAAGGAATAGAGGAGTTAGGGAGAAGTAAATTACCTCTGAAGGGATTATCTTGAGAGAGGAAAAGGGATAGCGTTTCTTTTTCAGCTGCAGAAATGGATTAAAAATTAATGAACTCGGATATGTTGAGGTGTGAAGGGATTAACTGCAAGAGTTTGTACAGATGATCCTTCCCGGTGACATTTGATGCAAAGCTATCAAGAGTGACACCCAAACTTGAGGCTAAGAGAAGTGGGGACAGGCAGCTGTGAGGAGAAAGCCAGCCTGAGGCGGGTGGAGCTGAGCCTCTCTGTGCAGATCAAGTATCCAAGATATACCCCAATTACCCCGACCTGGAAGTGGAGAGGAGGGCCCGTAACAGATCCAGTCTGCTCTGTATGGGGTTCTGTGGGCAGAATTTTAAATCTCAGACACCAAACTAGTAAAAGTAACAGGGGTTGAGAGGTTGGTGTTTTTTATTGAAAGGTAGCACTAACTTCTTCGAAAGATTTATGAGAATCCTAACTCCTGAACAGCCTGGCTGGTTTGATTTAAACAGAGCCCTTGAGACTCTTCCCATGAGCTTCCATACCCTGACAGGAGGTGTGCAAATGGGATGGTTTTCAGGACCTTGTTCCCAGAGCAACTTGCAGCTGGGGTTGCCAACTGAAAGTTGTCTTCTGCCAGAAGTCCTAGCTTCCAAGAGAACTTGGATCCCTTGACCTTTACAGGGGCTCCCTTTCTTTCTCCCCTAGGCCTTTAACAAATACAAGAGAGAGGGGTTTTGCCTTCAAAATGTCGACAAGGCCCCTTTGGCGAAGAGAAGGAAAATGAAGAAGACCAGCACCAGTACAGAGACACGCAGTAGCTCGAGCGAAAGTTCTCACTCGTCCTCCTCTCACTCCCACGGGAAAACCACGCCCACTAAGACCCTGCAGCCCAGCAACCCCGCGGACCCCACTCACCCAGACACGCTCTTCCAGTTCTCGGACTGAGTGGTGCGGGGACGGTAGGAGTGTCACCGATGATGACCCGTCTGCACCTCGAGTGCCCTCAGCATGTGCCTGAGATGATGTCTTAACGCTTTTCAAACCGTGTCCTGTTGGTCTTCTTGGAAGCTGCCTCTTAGGGAATTTTTTCAGGAAAACCCAGTTGGTTATCCTTGTCCAAAAGCACGGGACAGAGAATGTTACTGTGAATAGAGCACCTGTTATACCGTTCAGCAGCCTGGCATGATGCCAGTGGGACTGTTGTGGAAAGAGCAAAGGTGTCTGTCTGTAAATCTAATTAGGGACTGGTTAGGTTTGAGCTGTTTACAGAATGAGTCGCAGGTTTTTCAGATGTCTGCCACCAAGAGTCACTCGTACCGTGATGATGATACCTTTTGCTTTGCCTTGTGGAGAGCGTGGGTTTTTAAGAGATTTGCACCCCCTCGAACAGTGATTTATCAGAGGAAAGGGTCTGAGGGTTTTCAAAATGATTCTGTAGTGAATTGTATGTGTGGCGTACATTTATTTCTTGAGAGAGGATTTTAACTTATTGTCTTTATTTTATGGTTACATACGATGGTAACCTATTATTATTAATCTTTTTCTAAAAAGTAAAAAAAAAAAAAAAAGTACAGGAACTTAAGGTCCCATGCTCTGTATTTGGGATCCGTCTGAGATGCATGCTAAGCTACATATGTTTTTAATTTTGCACTGCTCTTTCCTGGCGATTTGTTTTAATGGTTATTGCAAAATAGTAAGGTACAGGTCTCTGTTTTAAGTAATATTGCACTTTATGAGAGAATACGAATAAAGCAAACTATTTTGTAAAGTGCACTGTTTAAAGCATATGTACTGCATTTTGGCCGGTTTTTCCATTATCCACTTTAAATTTGTCCTTGCATCCCCCTTTCTACCTTGTATGCGCAAGCGGAATGGGCATAATCGTAAGCCACTTAGGCACCGATACGAAGAAAATCTGAAGGGAAATTCTGTGAAACACTGTGCTTCACGTTTGTACATTGTGTTGTGCTGCCACAAGGCGCACCCTCCTGTAGGCAGATGTTATGTACATAGTATTTTAGAATCATGACTATGCCTTGTCTTGAAATTTTTCTGTTAAATTTTAAATCCAGAAAGCATATTTTATAAACTTATGCAGAGCACCTTTATTGCTCCAAAGTTCTGAATTCCTACAGAAAACAAGTGCTATGTGATGAAGACATTTCACTGAAAGATTGCTGCGTTTTCAAATACGATTAATTCATTCCCTATGCAAAAAAAGAAGTGATAGGATTTGTATGTTGTATTTTCTTTTAAAGCCATCACACAAAATGTCAGGACTGAGAAAAGTGATCTTGGCTATGTTTACAAGAATCATGCTTAAAAAGATAATGCCCGACCTGTTTATTTTATCATTTTTGTTAATGATAACCTCTTGAGCATTGGTTTGGAATTTGGGCATGATATTTATTTATTCCTTTCTTGAGATGATAGCAGCATTAATTTCAACCAGTTATGAATACTTAAAATATTGCGCTCTATGTAATAGTAGTATATTTATTACTAAATCAATGTATATATTAATAGCACAGGCAAAAAAATGGCAAATATTAAAATATTTTCAAAATATTGTATTATTCTGTTCACATTTTTGTTCACAGTGGTTATTGGAAATAACTTTCTATACTTTTCAGTGGCCCAAATGGCTCCATGATTCTCATGAGTCAGTGAAAGTTTTGTACCCCTAGCTTGCAATCTTTCCTGGTCATGATGGGAAATCTTTACATGAATTATTACCAACCTGTAGCAAATTCACAGAATGTGATTCCATCCAGGTGCAGCGATTTAATAACCAAGAAAATGTCCATTTATATCTACAGTTATATTAAATAGGTTTGGAAATGTCTAAGTTAGCTCTTCAGGTCATTTGTTAAACTGTGCATCCTGGTAGGAAATACTAGTTGTAAAGTATAAACTAAAGGGACTTTGTTGCTAATGGAAAATGATCCAGAAAAATAGTTAGCATACCCTAAGGATTGTTGGGCGTCATTGACTCCCGGAGAGTGAAATTGAGGGGTTTCCTTTTCCTCTGTTCTCAGTGCCTCTTCTTCTGCAGGACCTGACAGAAAATGGAATGGGTGAAAAGGCAGGCAGAGTAACAGGAGGAAGGACAGAGAAGGCTAGTCCATCACAATGAGGCTCCCTGAATAACCCAGAACGGGCTTTTGGAAGAACCTCAAAAAACACTCAGAATGGTGCCCCCTTGTCAGGTACCTTCATCCTCACCCTGCTTACCAATGCCAGAGAGACAGCTCCGATGCTGAGTCTGCAGCACTTAGACTGTGTACAGGCTCTTCGTGGCTGGTGACTTGCACTTTGAAATTCACAAAGCTTTCACTGAGTCATAGCAGGAGTAAACTAAAAAACACTTCAAATGAAAATGTTCAGTGAAAGCACTCTTTTTTAGTATTAGGAGTAAAAAAGAAGTAGATCTATAAAAACCAAATATAGACATAAATTTATATAATATTAATTTTGGAGGTAAGGCCAAATCACCTCTCCCCTTTTTCCCTGAGTGATTTTATTTGCATGTAGTTTTCACACCATCCTAAATCCCGATGCATATATTTTATGACTACATATGGCTGGTTGAGAGTCAAGCAGGTAATAGATGAAATACATTTTAAAAGACCGGTTTCTTCTACTTCTTAGGCCAGATGCTGTGGCTGACTGAGTTAAATTAGCTATTTTGAAGTTCATGAATTCTTCCCAACTTCTATAAAACAATGAGTCCGTGAACCCCCTGGGACCGAAAATCAAGCCACCTGGAGTTAATTTCAACATGCATCTTTGTGTTGGAGTTGCAGATTCATTTGCCCAGGAAAGAACGCTTTTTAATATTTTTCTATTGCTACCGATTTCTTAAATAACTATGTAAAGGCTACATGTAAAATACAAGGTAAGTTACTTTAAGGAAGCTTGTGAGGATAACAGTAACTCTTTTTTTATAAGGGAATTTCTTTTGTATCTCACTTTACTTTTTTTTTAAAGTATACAGTTGCTTGTCTACTCATTTCCCGTGCTGCCATTTCAAACGCTGTTATTATCATATTTATGAAGGTCAGGGTACCTCAGAATGGTGGGAGTCTCTAAACTACTGGCCCCGTTTGTGCCTTCGGCCATCTGATTACTTCGAGTTTGCACGTGGTGGCCAATAATAAGAACAGGATTTGGATATTCATTTTATCACACTTGTAATATTCTTTAAGATCTAAATAAATAAGTTAAATTCTGATGTGCCACTTACACCGTATCAAAACAATTGTCTTATAGATGAATTCTCGTAACATAATGAAATACCATACAATTATTATGACTTTGGCCCCTCAGATGTCCTTCACCATGACACCCGGCTTCTGGCCTGTCATCACTTCTATCCCCTACATGAATGCCCATCTGCACTCGATACCATTGTTTGGCACTAAAAAGAATGTAGCAGGCTCTCACGAAATTCTGAATTTAAGTGCAAGTCATTCCAAAACTCCAAGAAAGGGAAAGTAATCAAAAGATAACAGAAGAAGTATGCATAAATAAATATTTTAAGTCTCATCTACTCAAAGGAAATAGCTGCTACAGCAACTTAGAGGTTTTATTCGCTGGCTGTTTAAGTGACTTCCCTCCAAAGTTGTGACATTCTTTGGGGAGAATATTTTTCTTGAGAGCAGTTATTTAAATCATGTGTGTATGAGGACAACGTGTCTTTTCAAGGGGGCAGTATTTTCCATCCTAAGAACATGGGGTTAGCCCCGTTTCACTTCTCATCTTCAGCATTTCTTTCTTCTGAGCTTTCAAGATCTCGCTTCTGAGCCCTGTTACTTGGCCACCCAGCTCTCTGTTAGGTTAACTCAGTAAATGACGGTTCCCCAAGGGCATTGTCCACCTTCTGGTTCATGAATTCGTGAATGAAGCAGGAACCAATATTTTACATTTTCCTACTAGTAGAGAGAAAAGGAGTACGAAACTGAAGTATCTCCCAATTCCATCTGTCTCGACTTGTTTGCACTCATCCAGATAGGTCCTGTTGACTGCCAGCCATTTCCTATCCACGAGGACTTCCGGCCACATGGTAAAAAGCTTGTTATTTTGCATCTAGAAGACTTGGATGAAAAACAGGATTCTTGGTAGTTACTCATCAGGCTTCATATTCCTGGCGTATTTCCGCGGGGATGGGTGGAAGGACATTTTGTGATATTTTTCTAGTTGGAGTGCTGCTTCAGTTATCAAGAGTTGAATGCTTCAGATAGGTCAAGCTGGTATTTACCACAGCAACTTCTCTGGACCATAGGCAACTGGGATAATATTCAGCTCTGTGTCATTTCCATTGCTTTACAATTTTAATTTGTATGGTTTTATAAAAGTAGTCTCCACTAAAACAGATTCCAGTTTCATCCTGGTTCCTTCCCATATGGAGGAGTTGTTATCTTTTCATTGATGTTTTAAAGCCCTATACTAAGAGGGGCACCTGGGTGGCACAGTTGATTGAACTTCCGACTCTTGGTTTCGGCTCAGGTCATGATCTCAGCTTCATGAGATTGAGCCCCGTGTTGGGCTCTGTGCTGAGCGGGGAGTCTGCTTGATATTCTCTCCCTCCACCCTGCCCTCCCCTCATGCTAGCACACTCTCTCTCTCTAAAACAAACAAACAAACAAACAAACAAAAAGCCCTATACTAAGAAAGAAGAATAAAATAGAACAAAAAAAAAAATGCCATGACTTGGAAAAGGAAATTTAAGTATGAACAGAATACTACAGATTTATTTTTCTGCTATTTCCGCTTGTAGGTAGTTGGGATAACCATTGTTTCTCTTGTTTTCTTTGTTTAAAATCCAGTTAGGTTAACGAGCTTGACATTCTTCACTGCAGTTTTATTTTTAACTTTCTGAGAGGCTGGTCACGGAAAATGTGCACTGTTGTGTTGAAAGGATGTGTGACAATTATCCTCATGAAAGACTTGGTGGCTATGTAGACATTCGATCATTTATAACAGTTTATTTTAGGTACTCTAGTGCGAGCCTATTTGCTAAAGTTATAATTACCAGTAGAAGGAGAGATTAAATGTATAATCATTCTCATTCTTTTGATGAATAAGAAGGGAAATACAAAGGTGCTACATTACACATAAAGTTAATGCTTTAGTGCTCAAGTTCTGAAAAACATCCTAAGAACTTTAGAAGAAGAGGAAACCACATTGATACATACTCAAGAATTTTTGAAAGACTGGCATTTTAATGTATAGCGGGTGTACTTCTGTCTAAACAGATATGTATCCTTGGGTTTGGAATTGCTGAAAATAATCTAAGCTGCAATAATCTATGTAACTATGTGTATTCTTCCTCAGTTTACAGAAGGACAAGAATTTGTCTTCCTAGAAAGTAAGTGGAAGATAAAAAGATGAAAAACTTTGTTTTTCTTCTGGGTGAACAATGAAGAGGCGAAGGATAGTCCCACCGTGGTTCAGCTGAATGCAGGCCACCCATCGCCATCTGTGGTGTCTTCCCTGCCTGCAGTAATTGTACTGTTTCTTGCTTTGTTTTCTGGCTTTCCAGTTGTACGACTGCATGCAGTAATGTTTCCCCACACTGATACGTCCCTCACTGCTTCTTAACATATCCAGGTATTGACTACTGTTTATAGCTTGTAATTGAGATCAGAGAAGTACTTGATTGGGGCAGAGAAGGGAGCACTGGGGATGAAAAGTATGTAGGAATAAGGAAATAAGGACACTGTGTGAGAAAGTGAGCAGCCCTACATCTCTGAGATACAAATAATTGACAGGAACATGAAGAGGGCTACTTTATAAAAATGCTATTTCAATAGCCATTTATATAAATGTCTTTAATAGTTTTGTCTGCTGGGTGGATAGGTGAACTTATTTAAGATGTCTATACAGGCTTTGTAAGGTGGTTATTTTTTTCTCGGAGGCCCATGTGATTGCTTTCTCCTCACCATTTCCCTACTCCCTCCCCAACTTATCCTGCTGCCTGCTGTCCAGACCATTGCCATTCTGTGGCCAAAGAGAGCAGTTCAAATGGAGTACTAAGACTACATATAGGTAGTGATCATATTCTTTAAAAATTTTAATGCAGTATGGCATATAAAGTGCACAGATCTTAAGCAGACAGCTCAATGAATGTTTATGTATGTATGCACCCTTAAAACCATCCCCTAGCTCAAGATGAGGCTCCCAGTCCTTACTCAGACTTAACCACTGTTCTCACTTCTGTCTCCACAGATTTGTTTGCCTGTTCTTGATCTTCCTGTAAATGGAATCATAGTCTAGTCTTTGGTGTCTGGTTTTATTTGATGATCATGATGTCTGTGAAATTCATCTACGTCATTGCACGCAGCAATGACAATAGTGTGCTCTTTTTCATTATTGTGTATTCTTCCATCAGATGAGTATATCCCAATCTATTTATCCATTCTACTGTTGATGGACATTTGGGTTGTTGATAACTTTTAGCTTTGATGTCTAAAGCTGTCATGAGCATTCCTGTGCATACCTTTTGGTGGGTATGTGCATTCATTTCTCTTGGGTTTATACTTAAGAAGGAAGCTCACTGAATCATAGGATGGATGTACATTTAGCTTAAAGGATATTGCCAAATAGTTTTCAACAGCGGTTGTACCGATTTACACTCCCACCCAACAATGTGTGAGAGTTCTGGTTGCTCTACATCCTCATCAGTCCTTGGTACCATCAGCCTTTTTAGTTTTAGCCATTCTGTCAAGTGTGTATGTCATTGTGGTGTTGGGCATTCTGACAAGTGTTGGTGTTCTACTGTGGTTTTAATGTGCATTTCTCTGAGAAGTAATGATGAGTAGAACACCCTTTTATATCTTTATTAGCCATTTGGGTATTCTCACTTGTTGAATGCCTATTCAGGTCGCTTCTTTATATTTATTAGGTTGTCTGTCTTTTCCCTATTGATTTGAAGGTTCTTTGTATCTTATTGATATGAGGTTTTGTCTGATATATTGTTATAAATCTCTTCTCTTTGTTTTGCTTTTTTTCTTTCTAATTAATGTCCTCCAATAACCAGAAAGTTCTAATTTTTATGAAGTTCAATATATTGGTTTTTTATGCTTAATGATCTTTGTGACCTGTTTCATCAGTCTTTACCCAAGGTTATTATTCTTCTAAAAGCTTTATTGTTTCACCATTCACATTATATCTGTGATCCGTCTAGCACTGATATTTGTATATGGTATGAGGTGTAGTAGTCAAAGTTCACTTATTCCATGAGTGTTCACTTGACTTAGCATAGTGTCTTGAAAATCTCAGTGCATTGCAGTTATAACTTTTATAGTCTTCCCATCTGGTAATGTAAGATCTCTAACTTTGATTTTCTTCCAGATAGTCTTGGCTACTCTTAACCCTTTGCATTTCCGTGACAGATAGTCAGTTTCCTTGGGGAGGTTATCTATTAGGGTTTCATTGGTATGGCATTGTATATATAGATCAATTTCAGGAGAATTTTATCTTCTCAATTTTGAGTTTTGCAATCCATAGACATGGTACATCTCTCTATTTACTTAGGTCTTTAATTTGTCTCAGCAAGGTTTTAAGATTTACATGGAGAGGTTAGATTTATTTTTAGATTATTGAAGTTTATATTTTATTATCTATTTTCTGTTAGTATGTAGAAATATAATTGGTTGGGGTATTTTTTAGATTTTATTTACTTATTTTGAGAGAGAGAGAGTGCATGAGCTGACGGGGGGCAAAGGCAGAGAGAGAATCTCAAGCAGACTCTATGCTGAGTGTGGAGCTGGACGTGGGGCTCGGTCTCACAACCACAAGATCATGACCTAAGCTGAAGTCAAGAGTTGGATGCTTAACTAACTGCACCACCCAGGCGCCCCTATATTTGTTTTTTTGTACTGCCTTTGCATCTAGCAACCTTACTAAATTCACTTTAATTATGCTAATTCTATAGATCCTTTTGTATTTCTTTATGTATACATTCATGTCTTCTATAAATAATGATAGTTTCATTTCTCCCTTTCCAGTTTTTCTTTTTTTTCCCTTACTGAGTCGACTAGGACTTCTAGCAGAATGTTGAATAGAAGTGGGACAGCAGACCTCTTTGACTTGTTCCTGAACTCAAAATAAGAATTCAGTATTTTACCATTCAATATGATGTTTGCTGCAAATTTTTAAAGAGATACCACTTACCAAATTAAGGGGTTTTTTATTCCTAGTTTTCTGAGAGTTTTAATTACATGATTTTTCTACCTCTATTGAGATGATCATGTAGTTTTTCACTTTTGTTCTCATATAGTGATTAATTACACTAAATGATTTTCAAATGTTGCATTCTTGGAACACACACCATTTGGTCATGATGTATTATTTTTATATATCAGTGGATTCAATGTGCTAGTATTTTGCCTAAGATTTTTGAGTTGTCTTTTATTTGGAATATCTAGTCCATTTATATTAATGTGATTGTTGAATCCTGGTCCCACAGTTAGTTTTCCATTCCTCCCATTTCCTCTTTGTTCCTCTATTTCTCCTTTTCTGCCTTTTTTTTTTTTTTAAATAAACCAAGTACTCTCTATTACCCATTTTTTTTCCTACCATGTGAGTATACTGGAGATTTTTTAAAAATTCATTTAGCAGTAAATTTAGAGGTTACAGCGTGCATCTTTGACTTACCACAGTCTACCTGAAGTTGGTACATTCCCACTTCCCAACAATACAAGAATTGTTTCACAGTGTAAATCTGTTTACCCCTCCTTCCTTCTGTGTTGTTGCCATGTGTTTTACCTCGATCTTCTATGTATGTTTTAAACATTACAACTCATTATTTTATTTATTATTATTATTACCATTATCTATTTTAAAGAATCAGTATTCAATTTTGTTTACCCACATATTTACTCTTTCTGATTTTTTTTAATTTCATCCTGCCTTTTTTTACTTCTGTCTCAGGTTGTTTTCCTTCTGCCTAGAGAATTCTCTCTCCCTCTCTTTCTTTTTTAAGATTTTATTTATTTATTTGAGAGAGAGAGCACAAGCAAGGGGGAGGGACAGAGGGAGAAGTGGACTTCCCGCTGAGCAGGGAACCTGACATGGACTCGATCCCAGGACCTCGAGATCATGATCTGAGCCAAAGGCAAATGCTTAACTGACTGAGCCACCCAGGTGCCCCTGGAGAACTCTCTTTAGTATTTATTTTAGTGCCAGATCTGCTGTCAATGATTTCCTTAGCTTTTGAATTTTGAAACTTTCTTTTGCCTTTATTTCCTTTTGTAACACCTTTATTGAGATAAAATTCATGTAACATATTGTTCACCCACTTAAAGTGTACAATTCATTGTTGCCTTTATTTTTGAAGGATATTTTTGCTGAGTATGAAATTCTGGGTTTAGCACTTTCAAGATGTCATTCCATTCCATAAGTTATGTGGAAAAGTCAGCCATCAGTCTTACTGTTACTCCTTTGAAGGTAATATATTACTCCTTTGAAGGTAATATATCTTTTTTCTCTGGTCAATTTGAAGATTCTATCTTTGCCATTGATTTTTAACAGTTTGACTGTGATATACCTATGTGTGGATTCTTTATCTTCCCTAAGGATAGTAAACTTGTTTAATCTTTTCATTGATGTTCTTCCTTAATTTTGGCAATTCCTAACCAGTCATTTTGCAAATAATTTTTCCATCCTACTGTCTCTCTCCTCTTTTCTAGGATTCTTCCAAACCTTTCACCATGTTCCATATGTATCTCACAGTCTTTCTGTGTTTTTCTGTTTCTTTCTCCCTGTTCTTCAATCTATGTAATTTTTACTGATCTGTCTTCCAGTTCATTTATCCTCTGTCCTATTAGATCTAATGAATTTTAATCTTAATTTCATATATTGTATTTTCATATCTAAAATATTCATTGACTTCTATAGATTCCAGGTCTCTGCTGAAATTCTCAATCTTTTCCTCTCTATTCTTGTACATATTAATCAAAGGAATTTGGAAGTTCTCGTCTGATGAACCCAATGTCTGAATTACTCCCTATTGGTTAGTTCTGTTATTCATATATATTTTCTTCTGGTTTTCAGTCATTTAGTCCTGCTTTCTAGGATCTCTCATAAGTTTGGCTGAATACTATACATTGTGTATTAAAGATTACAGAGACTCTGCATGGAGTTATCTTCTTTTAAGATGGTTATACTTTCTTCTGGCAGGTAGGTAGAGTATAGGCAGATTACCATGATCCTCTTGAAGATCGACTTTAGACTTTGTAAGGGCTGGTTTCAGTTTTTGCCCTTACTCCTGCTCCAAGAGCTCAGCACAAAGAGCTACTAAAAGCTCTGCTCTCTTCAGCCTCACAGCTGCTGCTGTTTACTGGGTTCCTGGAGGCTTCACCTTGATTTAGGGATGGCAAACACCTCAAGGAAATAAAGTAACAGCATTGCTGGCTCACTTCCCTGAGGTTTTCTCCTCTCTGGGATTTTGCCCTTCAAGTCCTAGCTGCTTTAGCAGCCCAGACTCCTACCTTTGTCTCCTCAGCCAAGTAGGATTGCTGCTTTCCACTAGGAATATATTTCACTGTGCCATGAATTTGCAGTGCCTTTTGAGAAGTCAGAATGAATGTGGAGCTCACACCAGTGGGCTTCTTAGGGCTCCTGTGTGGGTTTGCTCTCTGATGCTATGTATTTTATTTAGCTTTCCTGTTGTTTTCAGGGGGAAAATTAGTTCCAATTACAAGCTATTCTGTTGTGGCCCAAAGCAGGATTCTGGTGGTGATCACTTTTAATCACCAAAGTCATTTCCTCACAGTGGCTTCTGGCAATGAGAACTTGGTTGTCATGGGTTCACATAGGAGGGCATTCCGTTTATTCATTTGCTCTTTCACACACAGTTTTCAAGCTCCTACTCAGGCCAGCTATTGTTCTAGACACAGGTATTACAGCAGTAAATAAGATTGCTGCCACTTTGCGAGGTAGAGCCTTTTATTTCATAGGACTGGTTACTAAAGGGTTTCTGTGTCATGCTTGTATTATTTAAAGGCTTTTTCTTATGTGTGGGTGAATGAGACACAGACTGAGCTCAAGACCTTTAGGATGACAACACCTTCCTATTTTATACAAATATTTTTAGCCTTTAAAAAATTCTGCCGAGAGTAGCCCAGTTCACAATTCACACATAGTACATCAATATGAGGCCACCTTTTGAAAGCTAAGGTGTTATGCTTAATTCCCTATCTGTGAGTTTCTACATCATGCAGACAAGACAAACACATGAAAGACTTACTTTGGAACAGAAATATATTACAATTTGAGTTAAACTCCCAAGAACTGATTCATGGAGAACAAACTTAGTTCTGAAAGTAAATCTTTCTATGAGCATCAACATGAGATCTAATCAGCCCACCTGTGGTTTCTCATTTTAACTTCAGTTTTTAAAAAATATTTTATATGCTACAAAGCACTTACTTATTAAGTGCTTTGAGATACTGAAAAAAATGGCTTGGTTTTCCCAGTCTTCCAGAATAGCTTGAATGTCATTGGTACCAAGAGAAAAATATAACCTAAGCACATGTTACTGTTAAGATACTGTGGTCAAATCAAGAATTTTACTCCTCTGTTCTTTGTTACTCTTTCCCACTTTAGAAACTTCACATATTCTGGGGAATGATAATTTGTAGTTCCAATTTTAATCCATTTTCATGTGATTAAAAGGCCGTCAAAGAACTAGAACATCATATATAGAAGTTCTGTAGAAGCTAGTGTACACTCATGAGGACAGATCAAGAATCTTGAGCACTTGTGGTTTGGTGTCCTTGGAATTACAACCCTTTCAGAATGGTTTAAGAACTACCAGTTAAAACAGACAAAGCCAGACACAAAAGGCCATTTTATTGTATAAGTTCATGTATATGAGATGTCCATAATTGGCATATCCATAGCAACAGAAAGTAGATTAGAGGTTTCCAGAGGATTGTAGGAGGGAAAAATGGTGAGTGACTGCTAATGCATGTAGGTGATGCAAGTAGATGATGTTTTGGGGTGATGAAAACGTTCTGGAATTAAATAGGGTAATGGTTATACAACATTGTAAGTGTACTAAAAGCCACTGAATTGTACACTTAAAATGTTATGTTCTTATGTAAATGTTATCCTAATTTTTTAAAAATCGCACACACACACACAAACTACCAGCTATAAAAGATAAGAGTTATTTTGATGGAGCCAGTTCTAACACCTTGCTATTCTGAGAATACCATCCCCACTTGTTATTTATCTGGCAGCAACTCTGAAGCATAATTAATATTATGGTTGGAAAACCATCACTTACAAACAGAAATTACAAACTTTTGGGGGACAAAGTGAATATGAGTCTTACAGATAACACCAAAATTGCAACCTAACAAAGAGGGCATCTCCTCTGGATCACACCCAGTGCTGGGTAACATTTGGGTAGATATCAAAGTGCTGTGTGTTTTAACGTTGGTCTCATCCAGTATATGGTTACTTTATCTCTGCTCTAAAGGTTAATCTGTTGCTTTTGGCCTCTTTGTCCTCATGGGACCACCGGGCTCTTGGTGTGCATACATTTTTCTTTGGTGAATACTTTTCGCAAGTCTTCCTTCTCTTATCAATATTAACTTTTGCTCAGAAGCTGATTCATGCGTCCAGTTGACTGAAATATTCTTTTACTTATTCATGAAATCATTTGGAGCAGTTGTCTTTTTCTCAAAGATGGTACCATCGAAACCCCAGAAAGTCATGCCATTCATGACTTTTCCATCTTACTAAGTAGTCAGAGGCTGGACTGTCTCCCTTAACTCCTCGGTATATGGTTAATATATCTTTATCCTCAGTGATTTATGTACACTCATTAAACATAGAAGTGTTATCAATATGAGGAGGAGGTTATAAATTTTTTTATTCACAGATTGACACATCACATGAAACTTTGCTTTTGTTTCTGGCAACAATGAACTGTACTGAAGAAAAGTAATTAGACTTTGAAATTTTCAAGATGCTTTTATAGCCAATGTAAATAAAGTTGTTTCAGACTGTCAATTATTTCACCTAAAATCTTTATGTGGAGAATATATGTTGTAATACACTAAAATCAGTACTTTTTATATATGTTGAATGGTAAATGTTTTGAAGGTATTTTTAAATAGTAACTAGGTATTGAAAATTCTTTCTTAAAGGGTCACTCGGCTGGCTCAGTAGGTGGAATGTATACGACTTTTGATCTCAGGGTTGTGAGTTTGAGCCCCACATTGGGTGTAGAGATTACTTAAAAATAAAATCTTTAAAAAA